TTCGTTTTCCAGTTGGGAGGTGGTGTCTTTTTCCTACCATTCGTCGTGGGTGTCTGACCATGCCCTATCTTTGCTTCAAGGTTTAGGGCCTTCTTGCTAAATGAGGGAAAGTTGTGCATGTTGATGTTGGCCTCACCTGCCAACTGATTCATGAGAGGCATAGGAAAGCATCTCAGGTAGGAGGTGAGTAAAACTTGGGGGTCATACCGCACCCTAGGAACACAGATCAGACGCTCTACTGCGTCTGTGGCCTCCCTTACTGCTTAAACTGCCTAGTATTCACAGTCAGGATCGCATCAGTGGCCTTTTGGGCCCTTGAGGATCATGTCACCTGTCTTCCACCAACTTGAGGTACTCATCCAGTTTTTGGGTGACCGCCGAAGCGCGAAAGTCATGACCGTATCCCTGCAACTGCACTAGACCACTCAACCATGTTGCTGCACTCCCCTCTAGATAGGAGGCAACCACAAGCATTTCCTCATGCGGCAAGGTAAGTTTGCACTTGACGTATACTGGCACTGACCTCAACCATGTGTCGAGGTCTTCGCCCCTCTTATCCCCTGTGAAGGGTTTAGGAGCGGTCATGGCCGTCTTCGGAACCCACTGACTTTGTCCCGGTACCTGCACCATTCCGGGTTGTGGACCCTGAGGAGCAGGCTGCTGCACTATCTACTGTTGGGGCTGTGTACCCTGCAGCTGTGCAGGCTGCGAGACAGCAGGCTGCCCGCTTACGACAACCTGTGACGGAGGCTGGGAGAACACTGTCTGTACACGAATCTGTACACTAGGACCTGCTGAGAACCCGCCTGTTAAAGGCATACCCAGGGAAATGGGCTGGACCGATGCTGGAGCTGTATATGGGGATACCCTAGTCACTGGTGGGACAAAAGGAGGAGGATGTACAACGGGCCAGACACCGGGCCCGAACGGTGATGGCGCGGCCTGCGCTCGCCCGACCAACGGGCCAGACACCGGGCCCAAACGGTGGTGGGACAAAAGTAGGAGGATGTCCTGTAAGATTGCTGTCTGGTGATCTTACATCTCTACTACACCTAGCAAGACCGCCCTTAGAGTCCTCACATCATCATCCAAATCTGTTGGGTCCATCTCCTCTAACTCACTAATGTCCGCTTGTCTCCACTGCATCCTGACTCTTCTTCTAATCATTCTTTCCTTCTCTGCCTTAATCTCTCCCAAAGCCTGCTGTAGCTGTGCCTCGCGATCAGCAGCTCGCTGTATGGCGACCTCTATAGGAGTCATCACTAATGGATGGCTTGCCATGACGCCAGTGGACTGACTCAGGGTTTGTGCAACCGTTGACCCTACAGACCCTGAACTGCTGGCCTGGGAACTCTGCTGCACATCTGTTGCCATGGCTGCTGAAACAGCGGCTTTGCTTGCGAATGCCCTGCTTGCCTCTGCGGCCCTAGCTCTCCGCTGCAGCTACTGTCTCTCCCTAAGCTGGCGGAACAGAAACCTGTCACCCTCTGGTCCTAATGCCAAGTGGGCTATCGGGCGTCTTGCCGATCGCAATAGCCTATCGTCCGGTTGTGGGACCTCCCTGTCGGTCATAAGCTACAACACTATACACAGTCTGCACTAGGACACTCTAGATGCCTACGCAGCATTGTGCACAGACCAATTTAAAATAAATAATGAATTAATTGGTGGCTGTGTCATAGTCTATACATTTGGGTTCCCCAGGTAAGTTCAGATTCCTACAAACGAAACTATTTTTACTTAATTAGTCCGCGGACAGAAAGCAAATTTCTATGTAATGCTGTCTGTCAGATGTCAATGGCAGTCCATCTAACTAATCAAAATAAAAATAGAATCATTTGTTGGGTCTGTTTGCAGAAAGCGGGGTCTATGACCAACACAGGTGTGAGTGTGAGCGCAAGTGGGTTGTGAGAGTGTTGGCCATAGCCTCTGCTGCTACTCGATGAAGGGTGGGGGACGATGAGAAAGGGAGGCACAACTACTGGCAGGTCTCGGTCTTTGTGTTAGCCAGACCCCCACTGGCGGCCCCAACCCTATACCCTAACCATTAGGGGCAAGGGGCAACATGAAATCTCCCCTTCACAGAGAGAGGAAAACTATGCTTGCAGGGGTCCCCTCTAGATAGTCTTAGGAGTAGGTAGTGGAAGGTAAAAACAAATAGAAGTGGAGAGAAGAATATAGACAGTTGTGATCACCCCAATTAAAAAAAA